TGCAATCTTTGTGCTTGAAAAATCCGAAATATAATCTACTTAGGATGTATCGGACCTATCTTCAAAATAGTACAAAGTCGCTAAAAATTTGTGAAATTGTTCTTTTAGTCTTCCTAATGTACTGCAGAAAAGTCAAAATGCATCCACTAAACGGTTGCTGAGATATAACTATTTTAATTTACACTGATTTTACACGTACTCTTATGGAAAGAGCCGATCTTCACGGATTTCACTTCAAACAGCTAAAAAAATGTAGAAGAAATAGTACCAGTTTTGAATTTTTTTTACACATCTAGTATACGAATAGATGAAAATATCTAGCAAGTTTCAATAGTAACGTTCCTTAATTTCAATACCGCGGATAGTATTTTTAATAGAAATAAAATAATTATATACGACAACACAATGTGGAGAAATCTATTCAATAAGTTATTAGTAAAAGATTTTTTGTTAATACTTTCCTTTTGCAATTATATATATATATATATATATATATTGGAATGTCATTGTAAAATCGAAATTAAATTAGTTGAACGAGAAAGCTTTGTTGCTTACTTAAATATTATCATTTAAGGTGTACGTGTAAATTCGTCTGAAGCAATTTTATCATAATAATTTTTCGCCAATAAATTCCCAAACGTGTAAAATACTGTTTTCATTTCTTCAAATTTCTTAAACCCACATATCCCACGAGTACAAACTTTGTCTGGCTCGCTCGATATTCATCATCATGATATAAGTGGCGCATCAACTGTAAAAAGCGCAAGAGCCACGCTCCCATGACCAGATTCTTTTTTTCCCCCCCGAAGAGAAATTAACCCTCTAAACGGCTATTAGAGCTGAGCGGTGAGCGTGCGCGCTTTCTCTGAGAATAGACGATCTAATTCTGTGGACGAGAGGAAGCGAGGAACGAGCTGATGGAGCGGGGCGAAGCGAGAAAGACGGACCACCGTGATTGCAATTTTAACGCCAATTTGACTTGAATCTTCTCTGCCCGAAAGAAATACTGTTTTCATGCTCAATATAGCGGCTCGCTAATAATTAACAGCCAACTCGTGGCACTTTACACGTACTGGGTGTCTCGATGCTACGGCGACTCGTATCTCGGAAATTTTTTAGCCATTCTTAATCTTGAACAACATTAATGTACCGAGTTGTGCTATTCACATGAATACTACATTTATTTCTAAACGAAACTTACAATTAATTTTATATCTATTTGCAGATTTACTATTAATATGAAGATACACCCCGTACAGATCAACGTACAGATTACAAACAATAGTATATATTCGTTTAATATATATTATTATGTATATATGTATTATACATATATTGATAAGATTTAAATCTACATGATAATGAAATTTAATTAATTAACAGGCAAGTAATATTATTCGACCAGAACTGGCAGCAATTTATTGCGAAAAATATTACCTCACCCTGTCTATTTCTCGCGGTAAATTTCCGCCAGTTCTGGCCGAATAATATTACTTGTCTAATCACTGGCGAAGAAAATGTCATACATGATTAATTAAATTAATAATTGAGACGGGAAACTTATAGTCAACCCAACTGGCTAGTTATTTTATTAGTTCATTATACAACGTTTCGACCCTATTTTTTTGGGGTCCTTTTCAAATGGTACTGCAAATCAACAACCACGAAAAGGACCCCAAAAAATAGGGTCGAAACGTTGTGTAATGAACTAATGAAATAACTAGCCGATTGGGTTGGCTACAGCTTTCCCGTCTCAATTTTTAATCATTACTGGTGACAATAAGCAAACTCTCCTTTCGCTCCGCAATGAGCATTCTCTTACTTGAGGAAGTACATTATTTAAAAAATAATATATTGGTTAAATTTGATCGACGCATTACTTTGAATATTATGCTAATACAATTTGACGAAAGAATTGCCATGTAGGAGGTCAACTATTGTATCAGCGTAATACGTAAAAGTTTGCACGAAACGGCGAACGTTCAAGTGAAATTCTGCGATACACCGAGTACGTGTACCGAGTAGGTCTTACGGTGCTAGCGGGTGGTCCTCATTATGTCGGGTTCCCCACTGCTTACCCCGTCCTATCTATTTAACGTATCGTTTGCCTTGGTAACCATCCAAATTAGCTCATCCTTCTCTATCCCGCACCAATGGCGTCTCGCGATCCCGCTCGTGTCCCCCTTAATTATTGGGAAGACGGTGTTTAATAACGACGATCCTACCGTCACGGTGTGCCCTAATCGAAAACACTCGTTTCCGGCGAAAGATTACGTCGTAATGGCGAACAACAGCTGGTTTATTTTGACATCAGGATGGGATTGCGTATTTTTGTCGCGTATTTCTTGCACGAATTCTTTCCAATTGTGAGAAGATCAAAGAGAGATGAAGTCGATATAATTTTGATTCGTTTGATTAGCTTATTATGAAAATTCTCTGCCAGGATCCACACGGATGCGTTATTAAAATTTTTGAAAAGTTCAATATCTTGACGATACTCCAATGAGAATACTGCGATTAATTTTCGAGAAGTCAGCCCGGGAGAACGAAGTTACGACCTCGCCAATCGGACACGCAAATTTATCTTGGGAGAGAAAACGGGATAGATATGCTCACGGAAGCGAATTTAAAAGTCAATGGCCTGTAAACATTAATGCCTCGAGTAACGAAAGATAGCGAAGTGCTTTGTTACGGGAGTTTATGAGCCTCTTTATTGCCATCGTGATTTCTTCCCGATTGCCGGGCGTGCACAGCTAGCGTAATATCGCGCCGTTGTAAGTCCACCGATTTAGCGGCGGTACAAGTTAACCGGCGGCGAGTCGTCTTGTGCATTATCTCTGCTTCGTTTCGTATAACGCGAGTCCGAGATGATATCGACGGACGAACGGCAATTTCTTAGAAAGGCAGTTCGCGGTGAAAAGGCCAATTCAACAATGCATATCTATATTTCGGCCCTCTGCTCGAGCGGGCATCATTAAAATGTCACGAAGCATCCTATATACTAATTGATCCACGGGAGACAATCGTGCATCTGTTATCGAGTGTCTTCCGCGGATTATTTTTTTTATTCACGATTAATAACCCCGCCTGTTCGGTGTCTTTATTAAATCGACGAACAGACGCGCATTGTCGTCTCGTATATTCTTTGACTACTAGTGAGATCGTTAGAGGAAAGTCCCCTATTATGAGACAGGCTCCCAACACGAGATAGCGGGTTTCCAACATTCAATTTCATCGTCAGATCGTTCTTTTTTTTTCGCCAACGATTGCGCGCGCGACTTAACAATGAATTTTCCACTAAACAAGTTTTCACTCCAAGGGCAATAAATTCATGTATGGTCGAACCAACGGACGATGCCTATTAATTTGACAGAAACTCCGCTATCTCATATTAGGAGGATAGCTCACAATAGGGGACTCTACGAATAGAGTGAATTCGATATAAACTTCGCACGGGTGCGCGATACATTTTTGGAATTCGGCATCGATTCCGATAAAGCGGCGAAAATAGACGCCGCGCGGATTTCCGCGAGCGATGAAATTTACGGCGCCAGCCAATTCCGCGGGAATGGAAGAACGTCCGCGAGGTTTTATTCGGCGGGTACGCGGGTGCTGGGCGGTTTATCGGGCCCTATCGGCACTCATTTGTTTTTGCTTATCGCGAAGTTACGTGACGGAGCCACCGTAAATATGACGGACGGGTGGCGGCGACGATGGAATCTCAGCGCGCCGTCAGAACAAACGAGCGGCACGGACGAACCCCAAAAATCTCCCGACACGCGGCGACGCGGTGCGATGCGGCGACGGGGCTCGATTTAGGGGCTGAACGTCGAGAGGGAAGTCTCGAGACTGAGAGGGGTTGACGTTCGACTGCGAATCGATATGCCTACCTACCTACCTATGTGCGCGAGCAAACTGTACCTCCGCAGTGGACCAAGAAGACATGGCCGAAATTTCCCAACTCTCGTACTTTCATGTCTTATATTTTTTACGACTACGATTTATATTTAATGCATTATTCCACACTGTCGTGTTTTCAATTATAATTACTTCAGTGTAATAATTATGGTTAGTTTGGAAAATTGTAGTCGTCTCACATCAAAGTTATTTGGCACAACGGAATGACGCACATAACAAATCGCTTATTAATTCAGTAAGAAATGGTGATGGGTTTCAATACCGCGTTAATTTCTAAAGGCAAACTCTCGTCGTCGAGTTTAAAATCACGGATTCAATTTTGCCTCCAAGTCAAATCTGTTGACTGCAAATTAATCGCAAAACAAACAGTCTTGTTATTTACTTCGCTTTTTGTAATTAAATTAAAAGCAGTGTTGTGCTTTATTCATAATTAAAGTCTCCAAATATTTGGTAAGAGGAAGATTAAGCTGTCGGAGCGTTTATCGAGACGATAGCGCGAATAAAAAAATTAAGTTCCTTCGGATGTATTTTTTTTACTTTGCTCTCACATTTCGTTGCTTCGCATTCATATCGGCTAATCCAAGCATGATCTCTCCGCTTTATCGGTGCTATTTAATGCAGCGACAATTGAAAACTATCTCATCCGCGCTCTTAATATTTTTTTTTTCAATCTTAATCATCCCGCCTAATTGCTCAATTGCGCTCATTACCGTCTCCGACGTAGTAAAGCGAGTGGCGATTAAATCTTTTCCTCGTCGCCGTCCCCCCTTCCGCGCCGTTCTCGCTCCGTGACGGCACGTCGCATTTGCACGAGAGAAACTTATCCCCTCGGTACAAAAATCGCTGTATAGATAATTCCTCCTGCTCCCAGGGTCCCAGCCACGGGGCGGAGCGTCGCGAGGAATGCCCCCGTTAGTAGTTGCCAGCCTCGCCCCATTCTGAGCCTCTCCTTCTCGCTCCATCGTCCGGATTCCCCACTTCGACGAGGAGACCTCTCTTCCGTCGACGAGTGCCCGACCCCACCACGGGCGCTTAGCCGAAGGCAAAACGAAAAATCAGGGCGGTGCTGGCTGAGCGGTCAAACTCAGTCCACACGGAGAGCTCGGCTTGGCTAGAGGCTATCCAGAGCTGCTGGTCAGCGATCATTGATCCACGAGAGCTGTCAAACGTCGAATCCCTGGTGTGATCGATGTGCCCCGCGCGCGTCCTCCTCTGAACGGAGCTGACCGTCGGCGAACGCCTCGAACGCACTCCGGATTCCGTATTCGCGAGGGACCATGCGCGAGTCAGTGTGGAGTCATTCGTGAAGTAGTGAACCACGTCGAGCTTCTTGGCTGCCGTCGCGGAATGAGCGGATAGCTCTTGTTCAGACTGCAGACAACCAAGCACCGTTATTGCGGGTCCCAGCAGTGCTAATCGATACGAACGTGACCGATCGACGTCTAAGAATGACAGTAATAAGGATGACCTCGCCGGTGACGCCTGCATCGACCAGCCCGAACTCGCCAGATGAGGCTCAGGCGTTGCAGGCAAGTCCCAAACCGGCTCACCGATTGAGCTTCTCTGTCGCGGCTCTGCTAGCGGATACCAGAAAGACGTCGGAGTCCTCGACGAGGCAGGACGCGATCCTAACGTCGTCCAGGTCGTCGCCGATCGTCTCGTTCGCGCCGATTCGACAGGAGTCGCGTGTATCGAAGCACCCGTGCGACTTCAAAGCGGCAAGATACATTTTATCGTCGTCGCCCAGTCAAGAAACCAGATTGGCTCACTGCACCTCTCCTCGCAGCACTTCGGAATCCAGAACACCGCCGAGGTATCCCGAAGCGCTCGACTACGCCTGCAACATCGAGTCACCCGGCAGACGATCGACCTCCGGTAGCGTCGACTATCGCATGCATCCGTCCACCGACGCCAGTACTACACCGGAGCCCACAGTAGGCTGTTCCTCGTCTCCGAAGATCATCGGCAGTCACCATGACGCCGGTTCGCAATCACCGAGAAGCAGCTCCCACGGCGAGGGCCGCTCGAGGTGTTCGGAAACGGACGACATCGAAGAGGACGACGAGAGCAGACTGGTTGACGTAGAGGACCTTCAGCATCCGTCCAGCCCAACCCCTATTAGGCCGACACCGGCTTACCTCGGCGGTTTCGCCACCATCGGCGGTATCCCGGAGATCCCGCCTAGTCTTCACCCTGCAGTCTGGGGCGGCGGACATCAGAATGCAGCCGCAGCCGCCGCGGCGGCCGCAGCGGCCACGGCCACATTCTTCCCCCATTTCTCTCACCATGCGCCTCTCAACGGTAAATACAACCTTTGATTTTTAGCGATACACTGAAAAACAAATCTGGTAGATTCAACCAGTCGTCTGTTAGAAAATGGACGAATCAGAATTCCCTTTAGGAATTACCAGATTTGTAGTCAAGTCTACCAAGCTTCTGGTTATGAAATATCTTTCATGGTAAATCCTAAAGGAATTCTGATTCGTCCATTTTCTAACAGACGACTGGTTGAATCTATCAGACTTTTTTTTCAGTGTATCTATATGTATTTTTGAAATATCGGATTTTTGTCTGAAATACATTAACGTTAGAATGATTGATCTAATTGATAATTGCCGTTCTCACTTATGTCGCTCAACATTCTAATCTCTGGATGTACCACAGTGAGAAGAAACTGATATTTGACAGAGAAATCTCATTTTCCCTTACGTCCCGAATAATAGTTCTCTCGAGTAGCCATTAATCGTTTCATTAAGTAGTCATTAATCACCCGATCGTCCCAGCGTTAATTTCAAAAGAGTCGAGCTATTTGGCCGCGCCGACGACAACTGTGTTTGCGATTGTCTTGGAGCTTTGGCGGAGTGCCAATCGCCCTTGTGTTTCTCAACAGATTCTTTTCATGGTTCATTGCGGCTAAAGCGATTACGCGGTTACAGACGCGGTTTACGGATGGCAATTTCTCGCTGCTATATAGAATCCAGACAACTTTACTCCTTATCGATACGTAATATTGAACGTGATGATATTCTGAAAACACAAGCCCCGCAAAAGGCGATCCCGTGGTAATAATCACGCAAATGTACTTTCTGTTTACGGTTTTACAACTCACTAGCTCGACAGCTTATAACAATTTTCTACAGGCTTCTAAATATCTAATTCTAACACATAAACGATTAGCACCAACATATAGTGTACTTCTCTATCTACTTGACGCGACTAAATAAATGATATCACCTCGGGCGCTAATTACTTAAATGATTTACGGATTACAAAAGACGATTGTTGAGGCGGCAATCCGCGTCGTTTGCGTCATTTTGTCTCGTCAAGGAAACAATTAGAGACCGAACTTAACTAGCTCGTGAATTTTTTGACGGAACAATGGGCGATTATTGCAGAAAGGTGTCCCGAGACAAATCGAGCAATCGGCGAACAAAAATTGATTCTCTAACGGCCGCTTCGGCCGGTCTCGGCTGACGATAGCCTACCGTCGCTCGAGCGGACCAAACAATTCCCACGTATTCTAACCTGATAAATGACTGTTACGACAGAACTCTCTTGTGATTCGTAGATAAAATATTTATCTAATATTGTTACGCAACAAAATCTGCCTTGACGATCTCCAAACATTTAGTTATCTCTATACTGCCAAATTTAATTAGCTTGTTTGTGTCTATATGTTAACGATTCTGTATAAACAGCTTAGATATTTCGTTTTAATGCAACACCTTTTATTTATACGCTTAATTTTTAATGCAATAATCGCGTCAACTCCTTTTTATCAATTTGTTATAAACACGTAGATTAATTTTTATAATAAATTTAGCTAATGTATATAAAGCGTTCAAGAATTTAAACAGTTTAAATATATAATATTAAAGATACCTGTACACCTATTGCTAATATCTAATTGAATTAGTGTTGACGTATAATAAAGAAATATAGAGATATGGAAAAATAAAAGGAAATTTAGCCCGAGAATAAAAATAGCTACTTGTAAACACCGAAAACGAGATCCCGTATGAAATATACGATACGGGCGAAATGCCATAATTCTGAAATATGAACTCTCGTAGAGGGTATTTTCACAGATCGGCGCACCCCTTCAAAGTTTTACGCACCCGTTCTTTTATCGTGATTATCTTAAATAAGTGATTCTGTACCGTAAAAAGATTTACTGACGTTACTACAAGTGTCGCGAGGTTGCAGGGACAATTGTAAACAATAATTCTTCTGAAAGTGTTACTTTCTAGTATCGTTGGAGCATTATTGAAAGAAAGAACACGAATTTTCAAGTTTCTCAAAATCCATTGGCAATCTTTCGTATTAGTTTGATCTCATTGTACGTAACTATAGTAATTAGAAATAACCATAACTTTTAAAAGTAAAGATATGATTTCTGACATGCAGTACGTAACAACAAAGTAACGGTCTTCACGTCATTATTCACTTTGTTCGTAAATTCAGATCGGAATCTGAGTTTTTTTTTAAGGCACGGCGCTACAAATGCACAAGTGCGCGGTGAGGAAATCGAGCACGATTATATCGAGAACGTTAATCCTTTCGATCGTTATGCAATGCAATAAAAGACACCCAACCGTTCACGATCCTTCCTTTCCAGTTTGCACTACGTCCGATGATCGTTGTATTCGTGGAACACGCTTATCGCGGCGGAATCAGCTAATTATTTCGAATGCACATTCCCGATCGGTAGCCCCGGATTGAAATTGGCCTCCGCGTTTTTGGTGGCCCCGCGACGCGGAGAAATCACCGGATGCCGAGACTAATTGGAACCCTTAGCGAGCGGTGAGGAACGTATACAAAGGACAATTTCGAAGTAGGATCGAGCATGGCGCATACTACCGTGTTATAAGTCTGGGCTGATGCGTAGAGAATCTTGGAACGGCGACAGGGAGGAACGAGGAGGACAAGGCGAGAGGAGGCGAGCGAAGGGCGGTTCCGACGACGAATTTGAAATTCAGAAACGGCAACTGCCAAGACCGCGACGACGATGTGGCCTTTTGTCTCGTCGTGATCTCGGCTCGTTGCTTCGGTACAGAAGCTGTTCACCTCCGCTCTACAAATCTGTCAATTGTCTCGAGACAAATCTCGAGGAATAACCGATATATTCCGATACCGGACTCCCTGTATTCCTTTCTGCTCCGCAGTGGCTCGACGCGTCCTCGATTATCCGAACGTGGCGTGGAGGCACTGGCGACATTCTCTGTACATTGAGCTTTCAGATATTTAAAATATATGCTTGATATGTTCATTATATATAATTATTTCCTCTCCAACTGCGTACATTTCAATGACTTTTGAATACTTTATTGGAACACAAAGTGTTGAATTATTAAAGAAACGCAATTTTTCCTCTCAATTGTCACATTAATTCCTCAATTAATTATTCACAAGAATTATTCATAATATGACAATTTTTTATCTGCATTATCTAAATTCTCGTAATTAAATTTAACAATTTCTTTTGGTTTAATTAAAACGTTGATATTATACATGTAGGTCCAACAAATTAATACTAATAAAATACAAATTTGTCCAAAGAAACTAGTATACTTGTATTAAATACAAAATTTTACTATGACCATAACTAACAAAATAATCCAATAATAACCATTGAACCGTACACGCGCAATTAACCGATGCCGCGTCCTTTTTTTTTTCTAAGCAGCGAGCAAAGAATACCGAGCTCACCAACGACGTCTTTCTTCGCGCGAGCAGGCGTTACGATCGGCGCTGCTCTTATGCGAGCAGTAGCCGCGGCCCGGCCGTGTAGAAACAATTCGCGGCCGGAATTTTGCGGTCGGCCGGCAAAAAAGTAATGAGGCCAGTTTGCGGCGCCGTTCCGACGGAAAAATTATGAATTGCACCCTAAAAAGACGCGTTTGCCCTCGCCGGGCTATTCCGTCGGTTCGAGGCCGGCAAAAACGGGACATTGCGGTCTCGGGGCCCTTTCCTCCGTTGGCCTACCTATCCCGCGGAACACCTTCGCGAGATATCTGTCCGTCAGTTTGTCCGTACGAGCATAATGCTCGTCGCTGTTCTCGTGCGCAACATGCACTCCGACTGAAAGCGTGTTCCTTTTTTCTTTCAGAGAACGGCGAGCCAGCCAAGATTAAGTGCAACCTGAGGAAACACAAGCCAAACCGAAAGCCCAGAACGCCCTTCACGACCCAGCAGTTGCTGGCCCTCGAGAAGAAGTTCAGAGAGAGGCAGTACTTGAGCGTCGCCGAGAGGGCAGAATTTTCGTCATCGTTGCACCTCACGGAGACACAGGTAAAACTATTATTGCTTCTTACACAAGTTGACGGGATGCTAAAACTTGATATCAAAGTGCCCGTAGCGGTTTGCCGCGTCACACGGCATTATTTTTAAATCAATAAATACAAATATAATTGTCAATCTTTGTGGTAATAAAGCGTACACAAAGCATGGCTTGTGTCCTCTTTTAAAATTCAGAATCACTTTCTCTAATTTCGCTTTCCGTATAAGATACAACATAATTTTGGAAATGCTTCTTCGTCACTAATTGGCGAATAAGCTCTCAACTCTTATCGTTGTTTATTCTACAATCGTTTTAAATTTATTAATGGTTTATGGCAGAGTGTTAGGTATAGTTTATCATTTTAAATTGCAACATAAATTCGCGAAGATAGTTTGTCGGGAGAAGAGGAATGAGGAGCGTTTTATCGAGTATCGTAAATTCTTCACTCGTTATGCAATCAAATTGGCAAATTAGTATCCAGCCCGCCGCGAGGATCGTAATTTCCTCGAGATGTGGCACGCGCTGAAAAAAATGATCTTGCAACTGCAGCAACAATTTTCTAGGTACGAAAAAAATTAATGAGATATATAAGTGAACAGCATACTGCGAAATGGCATATGTTTTGTACTTAGTCAATTTAAATAACAGAAACAGAATTTCTATTTCAACTGTTAGCGATTGTTAGGGAGAGAGTCTTTCTGTGACGCCCATCCGTTATAACGTGATACATAAACAGTTGTATTCCTTACGAAGATTCTTCTAGCCGTGGTGGCGAAATTCATTTTTATCCCATGTGAACATTTAGTCATGAAACCCAAACTTTCCAGGAGGTTTTACTAAAATGTTGCTGCTATAAAGTTTGTAGGCTACAAACAATTTTTAGATACACAAAATTAGCGTTAAATATTTGTTGCGACACCTAGAAATCTACCTGCGTCAGTAAGATTTTTTTTTTGAGTGCGGCAACTGATTTTACGCGGCTGATTCCGCGCAGAATCTCAAACTGGCACCGGCGATGCACCCCCCCCGCATATCTTTCGCCCCTTTTATTTCCTCGGAGCCTCGTGTGCCATTCACGAGTCAAAACAGCCCATGCATGTCTGTCACAGCTTAGTCATAGTAACCGTACGGCGCTGCCAGATGCGCGGTAATTAGCGCGCGTAAATGCGCGCTACCCGACGCCAGCGATACAAAGCAAAGAGGACGGTAAATTTTATTAATAGACTACAAATTGCCTGAAACGCGCTCCGCAATAGCACGCGATGACCGACCAATTATCTCCGGCTGAGATCCCGATTCTCTGGCAGTGATTTCCGAAACGCGTTTCGCGTGCCTTCGCGCGTACCAGCGCGGTAAGCGCGAATCGCGCGAGTTCATTTCCGCGCGGGACGCCGCGCGCCGCGCCGAAACGACCCGACAACAGCTACGTGGATTGTTCGATTAAGATAGACGTCGATAAAATTACAGCGAGGGATAACAGTTTGTTTATAGCTGCGGATGCGTCGCCGCGATACCGTGAATTATTTATCAGTTCCTCTCTTTGACTTTATCGCCGTGTCATCGAGACGCTTGCCAAAATTATATCTCGAAAGTGACATTTAAATAGAATTTTATGTGCTCTATCTCTTCCAGTTTATTTCAAAGATTTTATACGCGATGCCAAACGCTCGAGCTGCGAAATTCAACGGTCGAATAAAATTACACGAAATTATACGATACCGTGAAACTGGCACAATTTATTTCCGCTGTACAGCCGGCAAATTTTGCATTGGTGTATCTTATACAGCCGTCGTGAATATTAACATATCTAACGCAGATATCAACATTAACATCGTCAGACATTATAATTGGTATTATTGCGATAAAATTTTGTTCAAAATTTATTCAAAGTTATTTAGTGCAATTAGTTACCTCTCTGTGCATACTCTGTCTACATTGATAATAACGTTACTCATCTGCCGTGCGTATGAGTTTGAAAGCTACAACCCGACAACGTTACATCTCGAATAATCATTAAGTTGTGCCAAAATATACTCCGCGGAGAGTAACCATATCCCGTATTAGTCATCTCGTGTCAAAACTCATCACCCTAAATACGCCGTTGTAAAGCCGAATTGATTTATTGTTGCAGGTGAAGATCTGGTTTCAGAACCGACGCGCCAAGGCAAAGCGCTTGCAAGAGGCGGAAATCGAGAAGCTGAGAATGTCGGCGGTGAGGCAGCATCACACGGCGCTCTACGGCTCGCACCCGGGGATCTTAACCCCCACGGGACTTTATCCCGTAGGAATGCTGTCTCATCCCGGGTTGACGCCTCATCACGCGATCGCTCAGCATCCCGCGAGGGAATGAGAGCAGTGACGCTCGATACCGGTTAGAAACCGCTGAAAGGATCTGTCATCGAATCTCATATCCCGAGGAATGATTTCGGCTGCGCGAGGAGAGCAGACTTAAAAACTACGCGATTGCAATACGCTGATAAATGATCTTAAGATGGAGAGAGAGAGAGAGAGAGAGAGAGAGAGAGAGAGAGAGAGAGAGA